GGGAGGCCTGCTTCTCCCTCTCCCACTCCCCCTGCTTGTGTTCCCTCTCTCGCTGTGTCTCTCTCTGTCAAATAAATAAATAAAATCTTAAAAAATAAATAAATAAATAACATTTAAAAAAAAAAAAAGAAAATGGAGGCTAAAAACAAAGAACCCAGTCGCCAGGGCCATATCACATAGTGAGTAAGGGATAGAGCTGAAATTTGAACCTCAGCCGGCTGAAGGCAGGGCCCAACCAACCTACCCCCCAGCATGCCAAGGGGCCACGCCAGGCCCAGGTCTCTTGCCTGCCATGGTTGCCTGTATATTAGAAGGACATCTCCACACTGAGTCTTCTTTTTTCTTAGCCAGCTCCCTGCCAGGCTTTGTCAGCAGATGAAGTGTGACCTAACCATGCAGATGACTGATGTGATTTCAGACCAGCAAATGGTGGGCAGAGGGGTAGTCAGAGGGAAAGAGGTCCCCTGCCCAGGGGCACATGGGTTTTAGGAGGTTGGAGGAGATGACCCTGGGCCTAAGGTTTAGGACTGGAGGTAGCTGGAAATTCAACCACTTCCCATGGAGGAAAGGTGCATGGGCGGCCATGACAAGCCCTGCCTTAAACCAGACACTCTGTCTACCCTCCAACTTGAAAGGGGCAGAATCTTCCGCCAAGGTGATGCATTGGGCTGAAGATCTCAGGGCCAGAGAGATGAAAAAGGAACAGGACTCGTTAATGCTGCCTGTAGTCTTTTCCCATGTGCCCATTGCTCAGCCCCATCCCCTTAGAATTCTGGGGGAAGAAGGAGGGAGTGAGAGGGGCCCCAGCAGCCCCTGTTAAACCTTCGAAGGCAGTCATGACAGGGTGTGAGCTTTCCTTTTCTCTCTGGGTTTAGATCGGGGACTCCTGGCACACAGATAACACAGTGGTGCACCTCTACGCTGCCTTCCCAAGACTCCAACTCTAGCTACTTCCAAAGGGTTAGATTACAGCCTTCTGTGGTTTCTCCATATTCTGTCAACCAGTCAGTCAACAAACATTCTCTGAGTACTGGCTGTGGGCCTGGCCCTGTGGACACCAAGACAAACATCACACCTTTAGGGCTGCTTGGAATGAGGTTAAGAGCACAGTCAACTCCTCAGCTCTGCCACTTACTACTAGCTGTGTGACCTTAGGAAGCCACAGAATCTCTTTGGGTCAGTTTCTTCATCAGTGAAATGGGATAATGATAAGGTACTTTCCTACCTAGTGGTAACCACTATGGAAGTAGTTCCTATTATTACTTTCCTTGTCCTCAAATAACTCCAGGACGATGGAGGCAACTGATGTGTAGACCAGCTGTCACAATGCCAGGGGGAGAGCTGGGCATGGGGCACCCTGGGAGGCCAGGGGCAGGGCTGCTCCCCCTGGCCACCACTTCACAAACATTTATAGAGAGCCGCCCTGTGCCAGGCGCTGTGCTGGTCACTGGGGACACAGAGATGAACGGGGCACATTGTCCACTCATCCCTGCTCCTCCCCTCTGTCCCAAGGCCCAATCCCAGAACCCTGCACTGAGGGTGGGGGGCGGCAGGGGTGGGGGGCACCATGACAGAACTGCATGGAGAAAAACAAGGCCTGGGAGCCTGGAAATCAGGACACCTGGGTTCATGTCCACCACTCACAGGCCACCTGACCTTGGGCACTGTCTAGCCTCAGTTTCCCCATTTTAGCATGAAGGAGTTGGACAAGATAACCCCTCTGGTCCTGACCCACTCTGACAGGTAACAAATAACCCCACTCCCACAGACCTTTAAACTCACCCCAGTGCGGTCCCTAGGCCATCTCAGCCTGCTGTCCCACTGAGGCAGGGGGGAAGAGATACCCGCCTGGTACTGACTGGCACTGTCCTGCTAAAGAGTTGGCACAATTTCGCATGAAATGGGGGGGCCTGGATCTAAAGGCGGGTTGTTTGAAGGGGGTGGGGGGTGCTGGGGAAAGGCAGAGCCAGCTCCCACAGGCCCTATTCATGGCTGTCTCTGGGGAGGGAGAGAGAGCAGGATAATTAAAACTGGGCTTTGTCCAAATCCCTGACCAAGCCAATATCTCACCTTTGAACCCCTGCAGCCAACAGAGCAGGGCTGATGCCCCTTTGGAAAGAAAACACCAATGAACTGAGCCCCAGTCCAAGGGCTGTGGGCTAGCCTGCGGTGGGGTGCGGGTGTTGGGGGAGTCAATGAGCTGATTCCACACCCACCAACGTTGGATGGGCACCTAAGGCTTTGCCACCCTGAGGCCTCCAGTCCTCTGCCCTGTCCCAGCCTGACGACAAGCAACCAAGCTCCCATCCAGCGAGAGGTTAACCTTGTTCTTGAGCTGTGGCCTAGATGGACACAGATCCAGGGTGGGAGTGATGTGGGACCAGGGAAGGCCCAAGAAACAGGATGGCAGGGTGAGAGCATGGATTCTGCAGCTAGATCGCCACGTTCCTTCCCCAGCTCTGCCACTCGTTAGTGATGTGACTCTGGCCAAGCTATTAGCTCTCTAGGCCTCAGTGTCTTCAACTGTAAAATGGGGACAATAACGGTACCCACATCACAGTGGTGGTGTGAGGATTAAATGAAGTAATTTTTATAAACCCTGGCCCGGAGTCATTGCTACCTACGTCTTAACTATCAGGTGTTTTATTAAAGCAATTCCCGCGTCCTTAAAAACACATTTTTTTTTCAGGCACTAATGTATGCACTTATTTGCATATATTTGTATCTCCTCTGAATCTCTCCAGATTCCTACACTTGGAATCCAGTGTCAAGGGATCTACCTAACCCACTGTCCTGGAGGAACCTTCCTTGTGGGATGTTCCAGGCCAGACTGGGATGCTGCAGCTCCGTAAGCCTCTCCCTACAAGTCCCCCTGCAGAGCTAACTGCAGTCCCTCACACTATAACTTAGTTCATTCTCCTTCTTTATCGTCTCTTTTAACCTTACATACCAGGTAGTCCTTCTGCAATGAAGGATGAAGTGACGCATGCCCCTGCCCACTCCAGCCCTGCCCTATTCTACAACCAGCACCATCCCTCATCCCCACTCCCATCCCTGGCAAAACTGCTGCACCCCTGGGGGACCAGAGGGGCCTCCTGCCTCTCTTCCCCATGGGCTCAGGGCAAGCCTGATGAGGGGGCAGAGAGGTCCCCATCCAGGCAGCCCAGCACGAGGCCTACTCCCTGCGTCCAGTCCCTCTCTGCTTGGGCTGGGATCCTTGTAAGCCTGCCCCATTGCCCATGGTGTACCAAAGCCACCTTCCTAACAGCACGCCCCTCCCAAAGTTTCACTTTATGCCAGGATCTCATCAGGGTACCCAGGTTCTAGCCCCAGCGCTCTCACTGTGTGATCTCAGATCTGAATACCCACCCTGCCCGCTCACAGGGCTTTTGAGGTCCTGGAATCCAGCATCGAAGGTAAAAGGGATTTATTGCTCTTATCATTCCCAAGGGGAAGGTCAGGCCTCAGCTTCTGGAAAAGGAGTTCCCAGCCACCTAAGGGTAGACCCAACCACCTTGCGAGCGAGTGGCCGAGGCTGGGGCTGGGGGCCTTTGAGTTGTTTGGAGGCAAAATGACTGGTTATGTAATGGAGATTCAAATCGCATGCCAATGAGCACATCTCAGTGAGAGCAGCCACTCTGGGGAGTAAGGCTGTTGCCCTGGCATAGAGGCAGAACCACATGGAATCAAACCCCATCCACCCCCAGATGGGCCTGGAGTGGGGGTGGACATGGTAGGGGGGAGATGAAGTATGTGTTGTTGGGGGTGGGGGGGGTGAATCCATGGGGCTCAGGCTTAATGACCTCCACCCCCACCCCCTGTCCATCCTGAATTTCAAGTTTGTAATTAGGAAACACTTTGGCTGAAACGTGCAGGGAGAGTCCGGGAAGAGAGATGCAGGTTCAGAAAGAACTGAGCATACATCCAGCGTCTGAGAAACACACCAGTCTCAGAAAGAGTTTGCAAAGCACCAGACCCCAGCTCCATCATGGGATGGGGGGCGGGCAGGGGAGGCAGCTGAGGAAGAGCATCACTAAGTCCTCCAGCCTTGTCAGAAGAGGAAGAGGCCTCGGCCCAGACCTTGACCACAACCTGGACCCCAAGGGAACTTCTTTTCCAACCGGGGAAACGACTGTCCCCAGAGCGCCCAACGCTTCCACTTGGGAAGGAGGGTGGTGCAGTGTTGGGGTACTCCAGCACTGGGCAACCGGGCTCGGAGGTAGGGGGTTGGCTCCAAAGGGGCCCGGAGGCCCTTACTGGCCCCTCCCCAGCTTCAGCAGCTGGCAGATGAAAGAACCCAAGCAAAGCAGCCCAGCGCTGAGTAATGCCCCTGGCACCCTGCGCCCAGACCCACCCACAGCCAGCCCGAGGGGGCGGAGGGGAGCGCAGCGGAGCCTTCGGGACCCGAGGTTCCCGGGCCTGTTTCTTTTCCCCAGGAGCCAGCCAGTGGAGCGGTAGACCCGCTCCCTGAAGCTCGTCGTGCGGTCCGGCCCGGCAGGGGGCGAGTGTGGCGCGGGGAGGGGGGTGTCCGGCCTCAGTGGCCAAGGACATCCCGCTCCGGGAACCCCCTCCCCCACTCCCTCTCCCTCCAGCTGTGCCGGGGCCTCGCCAACGGAAAACGAAAACTCGGGCAGAGGAAACGGCGGCAGGCGCCCCGCCTGAAAAACCCGGACAAAAGGCGCGGGCCTCCGGCCCCCGCTGCCCGGCCGCGGGGGGCCTGACACCGCCGCCCTGGTCCGTGCCCTCTGCCCAGGCAGCCCCGTACGCGTCCCGGCCCCCTGCCTGCCTTCCTCCATCCCGCCCCCCTGCCCAGGGCACCTCTCGCTCCGGCCCCCTCCCCGGCCCGCCACCAGCCCAAGTTCCCTGCAGCCGTGCCCGCGGTGTCCGCGCCGTGCGCCCCAGGCCGTGCCCGCCGAGCGGGGGCACCGCGACCCCGGCCCTGCGGCCAGCTACCCGGCAGCACCTGGATCCGCCCCCCTCCCCTGGCCCAGCGCCCTCACCTGAGGGGGCCGGGGCTCCGGGCGGGGCGGGATCCCGACCAGGCAGAAGGCGACTCCATTCATCGGGCGGCAGCGGCGGCTCTGCGGCCAGGGCACTGCTGGGGGCGCGGGCAGGGACCCGGGAGGGGCGGGGCCGGAGGGGGCGGGGCCGAGCGCGGAGTGCCCCCCCCTCGGGGGGCCAGCCCCTTCGCTCCTCCCCCTGCGCTCCCGACGGGGCGCGCCCGCCGCCTCTCCCCAGGGCAGCTGACTGGCAAAGGGGGTTCAGGCAGGGGTTAGCGCCGGCAGCGGAGCTACGGGGCAGTGAAGCCTGGGGAACAGAGGTGGTCTCAGGGAGACAATTTGGGCTGGCCTCCCGGGAACCGGCCCAAATAGGTGGTGATCCTGGCTGGCCGAGGAAAGAGGCCAAGGGCACCCAACCCAGAGCTAGCACAGGGAGAGGAAAGGGGGAAGGAAGAGAGAGGGAAGCAAGAGGAAACATAGCCAGACAGAGGTAGTCAGAAACAAAGACTGAGAGACACAGAAAGCATGACAGGGACAAGATACAGCGTAGAGAGCAGGAGAAGACAGTCAGAGACAAAGATAAAGAGACCCAGGATTGAAGAGAGGGAAAGACAGAAAAAGGCTTAGGGAGCCTTCTGTCCAGAGATTTATGGAGACAAGGACAGAGATGGTGATGCCCGTGGGAGTGGGGGCAGGAGGGAGCTTTCAGGGGCTCCAGCCCCTCTATCTAGGGTCTCCCTCCTAGGCCGAGTCTCAGTCCAGGACCCCAAGGAGGCAGAGGAGTGGACGCTGGAAGAGAGAGGCTGGCAGGTGCCCCAGCCCTTCAGACCCCCAGCCAGCCAGCCCGGGGCTCAGGCCTCTGGACCAGCTCATAGATCTGCTCTGCAGGGGACAGCAGAGAGGGCAGAGATGGCCCCAGGCCTCCCACTCACAAGCTCCCCACAGCCTTCCTTTGGGGCTTCATGCCAGGGTGGGCCCAAAGAGCCACTGGGGTCCTGAGCCAGTTCTTCATTTCCCTGCCCCCAAGCAGGACCCCTCCAGGCCATCTCCTAATGATCCGGGAAGAGATAGTCCCACAGTCCTTCGTTTCTGACAGAAAGTTCTTTCTACTGTCTAACTGACATCCTTGTTACTTCCTGTATTTCCTACGGCCTATGCTTACCTCTTTTCCGTGCCTTCTTGCAGTTTTAACGGGCTCCTGTATTCCTCCACCCAGATTATGAAGAAAAGGTGGGAGAGGCCACAGATAGATAGGAATAGGATTGGGATAAGACAGGCAATGAAAGTGGAAGGCTGACTCTGCCCACTGGAATCACCCACCTCCTCTGGGCAAGGAGACCTCATAAAACCTGCCTACTTCACCACCATCACCAGCCCCAAGTCCCCCACCCAGGACCAGGGACTCAGGTCCCAGAGCAGGTAAGAGTGGCCCAGACACCAACTAGGCCATCCCTACTCCTGTGAGCCTGAGGAAGGACATACTGACTTGGTTTTAAATCTTACGTTTTATTTAATTTCTTTGAAATTCCCTGGCAGTCCATGGAGAGGGAGGCTCTCACAATGATGGAAGGGCACGTCATGACTCCTCATCCTTCCCCACCTCTCTTCATCAAGGTCGCTAGTGCAGCTGGACTTGTCCCCCTCTTCTGAGAAGTCCTTCCTGCCGTCTAACTGTGACCCATCATACTGCCTGTATTGCCTTGCATGGTTTTCAACAAGGTTCCTGTTTCTACCTCCCTCTGTCCTATAGCTCCAGTGGTCCAAGGCTTGCTGCCACCCTGGCTCAGGGATCTCTCCTCTCAGGACAAACGGGCTGTCTCTGTAAGGGGGAAGCAGTGACACCTGGGATCCAAACTGAACTGCGGCTGTAGGGGAGGGGAGGAGGGTGGTGACCGCTGGGGTGCCCCTGGCTCACTTTTTCCAGAGCCTGATGCCCTCAGACACTGCGGGAGGCAGTGAGAGGAAATGAGCTCACTCCGGCCAGCAGATGAATTCCTCCCTCCACAATGCACTGCGCTCACCTCCCCCACCCTCTCCCACTTCCCAGAAAGTGCGCTCTTCCCCCACCCTGCTGCCCTTCCCACCTCTTCCTGCACCTTGACCTGCACCCCCATCCTGTCCTGGCCCTCCCCCATCAACCTTCTCCAGCCCCTCTTCCTCCCATCCTTTCCCTCAGGCTCCCTGGGTCTCACTCCCTGGTCCTACCACCCAACCCCAAATCCACTTCTATTCCTGGCACACTCTTTCTCTGGGGGTCCTGGAAGCAGAGCCCAACATGGGTGGAGGGGGTCCTTCACTAAGGACCCTCCTTATATTCCCCCTCTTTCTAAGCTCCTCCCCCAGCCCAGTCACCTTCCTCGGTTCACAAATGCTTTTTGGGAATCCTAATATATGAAGGGGTGGGGGACTGGAGGTTGCCCCTGGGGAAATGGGGATAAGACCTAGCTCCTTCCCTTGAGGAGTCCTAGTCTTACCAATCCTGACTCTATAGTGAGATCTCCGAAAAGGAACAATGGAAGGCCAGAGAAGCAGAGGAAAGCTTCCAGAATGAGGTGGCCTTGAGCTTTTACGGGCTTCATGGGTGAGGTGGGGGGGGCGGGGAATGGGGGTTAAAAGCATTCCAGGGAAAAGGACTATCAATAGGCAAAGGCAGGAGAAAGCAGACTTTAGTGATATGGCTGGAGCCAAGCGGAGGGTAAGGAGGGTACAATGTAGGCAGGAAGCATGGAGGGATGAGGAAGGAAACGCGGGTGGGGATATGCCGATGGAGTGACTGGGCCTGAGGCACTTAGATTCTAGCCTGGCCAGGGGCAGGGATTAGGCGGAGATGTGCCACATTGCAGGAAAGAAGGAGAGCAGCAAAGAGATGCGGATGGTGGTGGTGGGGGGGAGACACTGCACTAAGGCAGGGGCAAGAAACATCAGAGGCCCCCCAGACCAACTGGCTGTTGCGGGAAGGAGACGGAAAAATCTGGAGTGTTCTCAGGGAGACGGGGCATGCCAGGCACTGTGAGTCCTTTGTATGTATTATTCCAATTCAGCCTTACATTATTCCAATTCAACTTTGAAATAGATATTATAATCCTCATTTTATGGATAAGGAAACTGAGGCCCAGAGAGCTTGAGTATCTTACCCAAGTCCACCCAGACTTTGAATCCAGGCATTTGGGCTCTGGAGTCCACACACTTAACCCATAGGCCGTACTGCCAAGCGGAGTAGTGACGAGCAGCTTAAACTCTGGGTCCATCTCTTGGAAGAGAGGCCTGAACTGGAGACAGGGCTTTGGAAGTCATCAGTAGACCAGGGGTGTGGTTCAGGTTCTCCAAGGACAATACAGAGGGGAGATTGGATACCAGACAGGACCTGAGGAGCATCACCTTTAGGGGCCGGTGAGGAAGACAGGGAGGACTGAGAAGAAGCAGGTAGCCCGAGGAACTGTGTTGGGCAAAGAGGACACTTTCAGAGGACCGGTGGAACCAGAGGCCAAATTATACAGTGAGGAAGAGCATCGGGGATGAGGAAGTGGAGTCAGGCCTGTTAAGAAAGTGAGCAGCACAGGTGAGCCGTGGGCGAGTCTTGGGCAGGAGAGAGACGGAAGGGATGATGAGTGGAGCGAAGGAAGAAGCAGCAGAGCCTGGGGCTCCAGAGGAAGGACCTGTGTTCCCCAGCTCCAGCTAGGGCGGGGAGAGGAGCGTGGGGGCAGGTCAGGGAGGGGTCCTCAGACCAGAGCCGCCCCCCATGGCCAAGATGAGGCCTGGCCCAGGAGCCAGCTAGGAGTTACATGGTGTCATCAAGGAGCACTGACCCCAGAGTCCAAAGGCCTGGATTCAGGTTCCCATCCTGCCCACCTGGTCGCTGTATGTTTTTGAGGAAAAGGACATCCTCTGAGCCTATTTCACCCTCTGTAAGATGAGAACAATAAGGCCTTCTCTGCCTGCCTCCCACTGGGGGCTCACACTTGATAATGGATTCAAAGCACCCCGGGAGCTGAAAAGGAGAAACAGTGGGTGGAAGGTGGGTTATAGGAACCGCGGCCGCAAGCCTAACCCTGGACAACAGCTTCGGCCCTTCCACCGAAGGGGAAAGAGCACCCCCTGGTGGAGAAGGGTGGGAGGGCAGGACTAGAGGGGATCGCTGAGGAGAGGCTTGTTCCTGTGCCTCTGGCTTTCAGTCCCCCAGCTTGTCCTCTGCTTGTCCCCTGGAGGCAACCCACCCCCACCTAAATGCTCACCTCTAAAGCAGGTGTGGGCCCAGTTCATTCAAGTCAAAAGATATTTATTAAGCTCTGACTACATGCAAACTGCCGTGTGCGGTCGTGGGGACCGTTGATGTTCCTGCCGTCTTTGGGCTCAAATTCTAGGGAAAGCAAGCAACAGCAAGGGATGACTGCAATGTGGTGGAAGCAGCGCACTGAGGAAAACAAGAGGGCCTCCCAAAATGAAGGCAGAAGTCAGGGGCCCTGGAAGGCCCTGTATGGCCTAGACCTTGAAGGCTCTCAGCGGGCAAGTGGCAGAGGAAGGAGGCCTGAAGCTGAGAGCTGGGGAGGGCGTGGGGCCCAGGTTCTGGCAGAAGCCCCAGGCATCCCACAGAGTGGATCTTGCTGAGCATCTTTAATGGCATAGGGTGGGGCAAGGGGCCACTCAAGAAGACACCAGTCCTCACCCTCCTCCCTGCCGCCAGGTCCCTCAGGAATCCCACCCGAACACCCCTCAGAGAGGGAGGCTACATACCCCCTAGCCTGGTTGGGGCCAAGGGGCATTGGTAACCTGCCAAACAGCTGGGAACCCAGCCCAGCTGGCTTGGGGGTGGGAGCAAGAGGCTGCAGCTTCTCCGGCTGGCAGCTGGGCAAACAAGCCACACCCAGTAAAACCCTGGTGTCAGGGCAGGGGATGGGTGAAAGATGCCCAGCCCTGCCATTCTCCACCCACAGCCCCTCAGCAGAACCATGTTTGTCATGATGCGGGGAGAAGAAGAGGCCCTGGGCTGGGGTCTCCACCCTTGCAGGCTCCCAACCGTGTGATACTGGGTCATGGGGGACCCCGTGGCCTGGACTGTGTGTACAAGGCTAACA